GATCCTTGGTCATTTTCCCAGATTCCACTGTCTCAACGCATGAAGCCTCCAACTTCTGAACAAAATCCAGTAGCCTCTCATTTTGATCTAGCTTGGCCCTGAAAACATTTAATCGTAGCTAAAAATGGTCAGTTCCTACTTAGTTTACTACTTCACAATTCCCCATTACAAATATGTATCCAAATTATAGAGTTGCAGCAGTTTAGTTAAACGATGGTTGGTTTAGGTGCCTCTAGTGAAGACAGAACTAGATTCCGTAACGCTACTTAGAAGGAACAAAAAACACAAATTTATGCACACCATTGTAAACCCCAAGCAATATTGGGAACGAAGAAATGTTTGTCGGGATTACATTAACCCTACCTCGAGAAGGGAAAAAGGAAGAAGAGATCTCAACTCTACCTCGATAACTTTAAACCAAGGTTAACTACATTGAAGTATCAAATAATCGAAGTATCAAATAATCGAAAAAACAACTATCATGGATTGACTTAGTAGTCAAATAAGGACCATGAGATTAATAAAGGGCTTAAAAGGAATAAGTCCCATCCATGGTGGCTACCTACCTAGGATACCATAGCAACCAAATGTAAAAGAGAAATGATTGCCAAGATTAGTTGAGACACTCATGGTCATAAAAAAAAAAAAAAAAAAAAGATCTAAAACCCTTGAAAGGAAAATACTAGAGAGCAGTAACAATGGACACTTTCAACATCATCCGGGCAAAGTTACAAATTGGGATAATACCTATGCTCAAGCCCCCGTGACCATGCAAAAATAGAAGCAATACTATTTGTACTGGTTTCTTGTCCCTTTTGATGTAATCGGTAGTGCCGTGTTACAGTGCCATGAGCCGCCTCAGCTTCCAACGTCTTCCCATCAGATGACAACTGCAATAAATTTCAATTTTTAAGGCGTTTGTCAAGGTTATGAGTCCATGGAATTGATCAATTTCATATTCAGGTGTTCACCAATACAGAAGTCATCAGCCCCAGAGAACCAAATCCTGCCAATGGAAAAGAAGCATTCATACTCAATACAAACAATAAAGACAAGAACAAAGATTATTTATATTAACAACAAAATACGTGATGTTAATGTCCAAAAGTAACTTGCATATTCTGATCAAATAGAGACATCAAGAATGAAAATGATAAAAGTATGACCAAGTAGAAGTAGTTTTATATTGAACAATACTATTAGATATTATTGATATTTAAATTATTAAAGCACGTGCTATTAATAGACACCAGACAATAGAAAAGTTGAGGGCGTTACCTTGTGCAAGCAAATCACTCTGAACGTCCCCATCATAATTTTTGCAAGCCCAAACGTATCCACCTTCACTTTTTACAGCATAGGCTACCATATCATCAATAAGCCGATGTTCATACCTAAACGCCATACCAAAATACATTCAGCCATGGGCAATAGATTAGGCATAACTACAGAGAACCGAGTAGGTTAAAAATGTATTGAACCATATCGAATATTCTTCAAACTTCTGCTTCCACTTCTCCTCATACACTTCTTGAAATATGTCTTTAAACCTGCAGGCCAGTACTAAAATAAACTCACTTTGACAATTTCTAGGAAACTGAAAGTAGATATCAACAGTAGAATCAACTAGATATAGGGAAACAAGTAAAAATTACCTGCCGTCATATTTCTTGAGAATTGTATTTTTGGTGCTCAAATACAGGGGCCACTTCTTCTCAAATGCCAGTGACATTGATGACTCTGCAAAAGCTTGAATAGACTACCAATTGTATAGGAACGTGTTAAAAGGGTAATTTATGTGATGCAAAAATCGAACAAGTTTGATGAAGTAGACAAAATAACCAACCTCGTCAACATTGTACATAGTAAGTGCTATGCCTGGTCCTTTGAAGTCATAAACCTCGAGCTCTCTTGGTGTCTCCCCATTCTCTGGAACTGAATAGAAACAAAAATAAATAAATAAGAACAATTTTCCCAGAAAAATACATGAGAATGAGTGAAGAAAAGAAATTTTTCTCACCAAACACCATTTTAAGCTTTCCAGGCCCTGGGATGATGGTATCAGTGGCACGATATTGATCACCAAAAGCATGCCTACCAATACATATGGGCTTCTTCCAACCTGTATCCAACCAAGTACTGTATAATGTTCCATAATGGATTATGTATTACAAGACAAGATTATACAATGAAAGTTACCAGGAACAATTCTCGGGATGTTTTGGCATAAGATAGGTTCTCTGAAAACGGTACCTGTACAAAATGTATTATTATTATGATGAAGCTCATACTTTTCTCATAATAGGACATTAAAAATATATTAACATAAAGGTAAAAATCCAACATAAATAGAGCTCACAGAAAAGGTCTCCAATTGGTATAGCCACCAAAAGGATTGGAAATTCCCAAAATCCTAAGAATGGGTACCTCAACTAGAAGCCAACCATTTGATCAAGTCCAAAACCTTTTCTCGCCCTCTTATTTCTACAGCCAAAATACTATGGTTCCCTCTCAACCCTAATTTCCCAATTACAAAATCTTAACCACATTAGACTAAGATTTTCGAACTTCCCAAAAAAAAAAAAAAAAAAAAAA